GAGAGTGAGAAATAAAAGCATCATTGCCGCCGCCTCCTTTCCACAAATTGCCCCCAGACAGCAAAGCCCCGGTAGAGCTGCGAGCATTGCGGGGGTCCTTTGGGTGAGCAGAAGAGAGCCCAAAGAGGAGAACCCAGGCTGGCAGCATTGCTGACTTCCCTCCGTGTTTCCCCCTGCGCAGGGAGAGCTTCCGCACTTTCCACGAGCTCTCTGAGATCTTCTCCGATGAGAACAACCACTCGCTGAGCCGGGAGCTTCTCATTAAGGTACGAGGCACGCATGGCACCCGGTATCTGGCAGGGAGCTGAGGCTGATCCCAGCAGAAGCTTCCATGCTGTCCCCACCATTGGACTGAAGCCCTGGCATTTGCTGCTGGGATTGCAGACGTGGGTGCAGGCAGGGTGTGTCGAGTCTGGGGAGCGGGCAGGGGTTGCAGACCAGGCTGGGCTTTCTGCTTCTCCACCCAAAAGCCGTTGTTGCCTGAAGCTTGCAAAGCAATTCAGCAAGCAGAGATAAGCAGTGGGATGGGATCCAGTGCACCAGGTGATGGCTTCTCCCCAGGGGCAGCTTCGTTTAACAGCCCGGTGCAAAGTCCTCTTGATTTCAGGTGGGGTTGTAGAGGTGGGGTTGTAGGGTTCATGAAAGGTTACGGCAAAAATGTCCATCCCCATGGAGCCTCTCCGCAGCTGCCCAGCCTGGCTCTGGTTTGAGGGCTGAGAGGATGCAAAATGCAAAAGGGAACAAAACATCCCATTGAGGAGCTGTTTGTATTATACAGAGCTGGGAATGGGAGCAGCAGTTCCTGTTCACTCAGCCTCTCCTCCCCGGGAGCTGTGAAAAAGCTCAGCTTTGATTTCCTCCCCCTCATCCCTTTTTCCCTCTACAAGGAAAGTTCTACAAATAAATTGGTTCACCATGGGGTGATTTTTAGCTCATCTATTAGTGCAATTTCTGATCCCCACCTCTCTCCACCTTCCAGGAGGGAACATCCAAATTTGCCACCTTGGAGATCAACCCAAAGAGGGCTCAGAAACGGCAGCAGCAGCAGCGAGAGATGGTGAGTCTGGCACGGCTGCCCCCATGCCCCCTCCCAGGCTGGTCCCAGCTCTTTGCTGACCCTGGCTGTCCCTTCTGTCCCCGCAGGGCGTCATGCAGGGCACCATTCCTTACCTTGGCACCTTCCTCACCGACCTGGTGATGCTCGACACTGCCATGAAGGACTTTCTGGACGTATGTACTGCCATCTCCATCCTCTGCTTTCTCCACAAAGCCTCCCCGGAGCCTGGGCTGATAAATGGAGGGCTGGTCCCCCATGCGTCCTGTGCCCGACACTGCACCCTGTGCATCCTATGTCTGACACTGCACTTTCTGTATCCTATATCTGACACTGCACTCTGTGCATCTTACATTGGACACTATATCTGACATTGCACCTTCTACATTCTGTATCGGACGCTGCACCCCACACATCCGCCTCTGTCAGCCCATGGAAATGTGCCACTCTTGCACTGCCCCTCAACAGGGACACTTGCACGGCAGTGGCAGCAAAGCAGGGGTCAGGGAGGGACGGGAGTAATATTTTTCTACCTGCTCCACACCGACATTTGGCTCCTTCCTTTCCAGGGCGGGCTGATCAACTTCGAGAAGAGGAGGAAGGTGAGAGCTTTGCCCTGACAGTGGGATGGAGCGGAGCGGGGAGGCTGGGGCTTGGTGCGAGTTCAGGCTGCGCCAGTCACTTTGGGGTTGATTCCTCTCCTTTTCTGCCATTGTGTTCTTCGTTTTGTGGGAGGAGGATTCTGGTCATTCGTATCTGCCTCTGTGTGTGGGGCTGGGCTGTTCCTGAAGGGGGCTGGGGCTGGCAAACATATCTGGTCTTACGGCCTCTGTCCACTGCAGGAATTCGAAGTCATTGCCCAGATCAAGCTGCTTCAGTCGGCCTGCAACAACTACAGCTTCACACAGGAAGACCAGTTTGTGGACTGGTTCCACAGCCTGGAGCGGCTCAGTGAGGCTGAGAGGTGAGCAGGAGCAAGGTCCAGGGCTGTGAGGAGGTCCCACCGCTCGTCTCCCCCTCCCACAGTGCACCCACAGTGTTCGCTGTGCCTGTGGCGGCACAGGGGGCTCAAACCCTCATCTCTCCTTTCCCAGCTATGGGCTGTCATGCGAGATTGAGCCGCTGTCGGAGTCAGCCAGCAACACGTTGAAAGCGAAGAAAAACACAGGCATCATCAAGCGATGGAGCGAGTGAGTCTGCTCATCCCCAGTGGGTTGCGGGGTGGTGGCAGGGGCCAGTGTGGGGTGACTTTGTCTGAGCATCACAGAACCAGACTGGGGAGGCTTCTGTCCTGCCACCCAAATGCTCTACCCCCTTCTCACCTGCCCTACGTCTCTCTTGGCAGCCGACAGCCACCGAGCACTGAGCCCTGCGCCAGTGGCAGCTCCCACTCGAAATCCTTCGACCAGCTCAAGTGTGGGCAGTACCTGTGCAGCGGGGATGCCACTGACTCGGTGAGCGTCACCTCGGCCGGCTCCAGCAGCTCTGACGTGGAGGAGATCAACATCAGCTTCATCCCTGAGTCCCCCGACTGCCAGGAGAAGAAGGTACAGGGCAGCTCCCGGGGTCCGGGTCTACAGAGGCAGGTGTGGCCATTGTGTGGGGACTGCTCTGCCTCTGCCCCGGTGCTGGGGCTGGGGGAGTGGATAGAGGTCCCAGGGACTGTTTCTGACCCGCCAGGGCTAGGGAGGCCCCTGCCCTTTGCTGCTCCGGCAGCGTGGCAGGGCTCTCGTGCCGGCAGCGGCTGTAGTCGTGTCAAGGTCAGTGAGATCCCTCTGGCCTCCCTCCCCCAGCGCTGGTACGCCCCGTCTGTGGCCGATGGAGAAGCTAAACCCACTGTGTCCTCCGCATCCCCTCTCCTCCCTGCCCTCCAGTTCTGGGAATCCACCTCCCTCTCCTCCCTGGACACGTCAGGCATCGGCTCAGGCTCCAGCAGTGCCTCGTCCTCTTCTGTGTCCTCCACGCCGGTGACGGCCTCCCGCACCCACAAGCGCTCGGTTTCTGGCATCTCCAGCTACTCCTCCCTCTCGCTACCCCTCTACAACCAACAGGTCGACGACTGCTGCATCATCCGCGTCAGCCTGGCTGTGGACAACGGCAACATGTACAAGAGCATCCTGGTTAGCACGGGGCACCCATGGTGACACCAGGGAGGAGTGGCTCACCCTGCTTGGGCGAGGCCATGGCCCATTTTGGGAGGAGACGGTGGTGGGAGGCTTGGTAGTGTTTTGCACACCCTCATCTTAATAATGCTCTGTGCTTATAGGTGACGAGCCAGGATAAGACCCCAGTCGTTATTCGCAAGGCCATGGCCAAACACAACTTGGATGGGGACCGGCCTGAAGACTACGAGCTCGTTCAGATCATCTCGGAGGAGAGAGGTGTGTGCTGGGGCGTGGGGGGCTTTACTGGGGGCTGTCCCTCCAGCCAGCTGTGCAGTCCTGCAGCCTGGGCAGCACCGGGTTGGAGCTGGGCTGGGAGGTGATAGCAGAGGGGTCCCAGCACCCAGGGACACCCCTCAGCCCCGCTCTGGGTCCCTTTGAGGGAAAGGGTTTCCGACTGGCCCTCATCCTTGGTCACTTCCAGAGCTGAAGATCCCTGACAATGCCAACGTCTTCTATGCCATGAACTCCGCCGCCAACTATGACTTCGTGTTGAAGAAGCGGGGCTTCTCCAAGGGGGTGAAGATCAAGCACGGCTCCAGCTCTACCCTGCCCAGGATGAAGCAGAAAGGCCTGAAGATCGCCAAAGGCATCTTCTAGCCTCAGCCCCACTGCCACCCATCACCGACGGGGCCTTGGGGGCAGGCTGCTCCAGGCTCAGCTGCCGCTGGTCTTTGTGCCACCCAGCATGGCGAGAAAAGTGACCCTCGTCCACGGGGACGACCGTGCATCTCCCTCCCACACCGAGAGCCGAGGTGCTTTGGTAATCAGTGTCGGCCTCCGCCTCTCTCTGCACAAGCTCCTGTTTCAATCAGGTCTTTTTTTCTACACAGGAAGGCAGCGGAGGGGGGATATTTCTATTTTTCTTTGTTTTTTTTCTTTTTTCTAACCTTCCACGGTGCGACACTAGTCCAGCCATCAGCCAGCCCAGAGCTGGAGCCCGCCTCTGCCGTAGGTGCCTTGTGTCTGAGCGAGCCGGGGAGCGGCGACTCGCAGAGGGGCCGTTTGCAAGAAGCAGTGCAGGAGCCACTGCCTCTCCCACATGAGCTGGGCTGCCCATGGGGCTCTCCCCTTCCTGGCTTTTCCCAGCTCCCAGTTTTACCTCTGCATCCTTCCTCCCTGGGATAACTGGCATCGCCACCACCATGCATCTCTGCCTGTCCTTCCCTTGGGAGAAGCCGTGGACACCCCAAGCTGGGGAGGATGCAGCCCTGCAGCGGTGCTGGGAGCCCCGTGGAGGGGAGGCTGCGTCTGTGCCGTGATGGAGCGGGCGCCTCGTGCTCCCAACAATGGGAAGCCTGCGTGGTTTTGCTCCTCTCCCCGATCCAGCACGTCCTCCAGCTGGGCTTCGCTGGCCCGCGTTCAAACCTGCACCAAAGATCAAACGCCAGTGTCTCTTCTACCAGCGGGGGAAGCTTTGCGCGGTGCCCCCAGCGCTGCCAGCCTGACGAGGAGAGCGAATTTCTGTCTGAACTTGTGTAAATAGAGACCTCGGGTCTGCGCAGGGGGCAAGGAGCCGGAGAGCTTGGGGCACTCCGGGTGCCCTGGCTGCCCCCTCCGACCTGCTGAAAGTGCCACTCACCTTGGGCTTTAACCAGACTTTTTCAAACATGGAAGCAGCAGCAATGAGACTTTTTTTGTATAAAACAAAAAAGTTTACTGATTTTTTTTTTGGCAATATTTATTGGTTGTAAATAGAAGAGACGAACTTGTACATTTTACTAATCCAGCCTCCCCCTGCCCTGCAGCCCAGACCCTCTCCTCTCCCCACCCTGGTATTTAAGGCTGCTGGGAGGGACATTGGCAGCAGCAGGATCATTCTGCTGAGCTTGTGGGGTGCAGACCCCACTGGCCGCCCCCTCCCTTCTTTCTGTACCACTAGTTGCTTGAGCAGGGGCAGAGATGCTTGTTTTAATTCATTGTAGGAAACACTAACCGAAGGGGGAACCTTTTTTTGCTCCTGGCTTCATCCCTTTTTTTGTTTTTAAGCGCTTCCTTCCAGCACATCTTTCCTGCTTCCGTCTGTCCATGCTGCCAGGTGGGTGCAAATGCCATCCCCAGCTCCAGGATAGAGGCCTGGGCGGCACCTGGGGATACAGCAACGCTGCACGGCCATGCTCAGCGGGCTGGGGGCAGAAACTGGGCTGTGGGTCCCTGGCACTGGGTGGGGAGAGGCTGCTTGGGTGTGAGCGTGGCCGGCACTGAGCTCTCCCATCCCCATGTCCCCTCAGGTGGCATCGCCCATCGCTGCACATGATGGGAGCCCCTGGCTCCCTGACGCAGGGGCAGCTTCCTGCCTCCCACCCTGCCCTGAGTGTGGCTCCTGCCCTTGGGCATCAGCACCCCAGGGTCTTCCCTCTACTTCGTGCCTGCCCTCCCCTCTCCCCTCTCACCAGTGTCCCCCAGCAGCCCAGCGTCACTGGAGGGACTGGCTGTACCATATGTATTTTGTACCACTTCAATGAAGGAGCACACTGCCTGGTGTGACTTGTACACAGCAATGTAATTAGTCTTTGCAATAAAATACTGATGTTCAAATGTCTACCCCAGTGTCTGTCCTGTCCTCCTTCCCCAAAATGCCGTCATGTTCCTGGAGGAAGAGGAACGGACCTGCCTGTGGAGGAGGCAGCACTTGCACCTGTCTTTGTACCTTGTGTTAACTGCTAAGTTGAGCTTTGTTTTGTGTTTGAGCTAAGATACAGGGTTTTTGTTTGAGGGACCAATGCCTGATTTTCAAATGAACCCCGTTTCATTTGAACCTGTGAGTTGTTGGGACTGCCGTGTTTTCCACTTTCATAAATGTGTCATCCAGTTAACTGGTTTTATTCCTTTTGATACAAGTGATGGCTTTAAGAGCAAATGCAGTGGTTGGTCCTTACAGTGTGGAGGCAGTGGTCTGCCTTCGTTGGAGGCATCATTCCTTTGGCACTCCAGGGCTCATTTCTAATATGGCCAGCATGTTTGTTCTCTGTTTTATAATTGCACAGACATCAGGGGAGATTACTTAGACAGTGTGATGATTCTGAGTGTGGATATTCCAGCTAGCACAGCTGCATCTTTAATTTCTCTGTGCCTTTGGCTACGTAGATGAGTTTAAACCCCGAGCATTTGGAAATGAAAGAATCACATTGTATAGATAGGGCTGGTAATGCTGTTACAGGCAGAATTAAACATTCAGATCACTGCAGTCTAGGCAGACAGAGGGATTTTGAAAACAGCTGGGAAATAAACTCTGGTACAAATTATTTCTGGCTGCTTCAGCCTTGGGCCTCCTATTGCTTGAGAGCTTGGCTTCAGGTGTTTTTCCTAGCATTTCTAAGTGTGTTTACTCTTTCTGCCTGCTAATACCTGAGCATATATTCTTATCTGGCAGTGGTATGTCCACTGCATTTCTCTTTTTTTTTTTTCTTAGCACCCTGCTGCATTGCATGGAGAAGGGTAAGTCCATTGCACCATCCCTCGTGCCTCTGGATTGCCACATTGTTAGGACCTACACCTTGCCCTGGCTGGAGGTGCCCCCAGAAAGACCAATTGGTACACAGCACCACTTTTAAAGCCGTAAGAAATTCCTTTGTACTTACAGTTGCAGCCCATGCTACCCTGAGACAGGAGCACAAGGCAAAGCACAGGATCTCCCAGCGAGCCATGGTGTGTGCACACCTGAGGAGCCAGTCTTCAAATGCAGATTCTGTGTATGTACATGCATACATACAGATGTATCCAGGAGCACAGCAATGTGTCACTCTGTGAGGGCCCTGCAGATGCTGCTTCTGTGGGCTGGATGCCAAACCTAAGGAAATCTCTCAGTCTAACAGAACTCTAGAGAATATAAAAAAAATGCCAAAGCGTTGAGAAGCCTCACACAAGTGCAGGAGGCTGAAATTGTATTAAACCCTGCATTAGAGCATGTTATCAGCCACTAATGAGGACCCTTCCACTCATAACACACTGGGGAATATGTAAGACAGAAAATGCCATCAGATCCTTAATTTCTGTGACTGGGTGGTAACAATCCAGCCAGCAATGGCAGACTAATGAGTGGCCAACCTCTGTGGACCTGAGGCTCTGCCCCATTGCCTGCTTCCTTCCATCCTTGCTAACTACTGGGGAAGTCAAAAAGGAATTGAGAAGTGCACTGTCTGGTGAGGACAACATGCACTACATCCCGCAGAAGGGAATTAATCACTGACAGACAAGTTTTTTCCCCTGCTGGCTTTATTTCCAACATCGCCAGTGAGACTCAATGCTGAAGTGACGGTGCAGTATTTTCATTCCCCTTAGACAATCAGAAGGGCAGCACCTGCCTTAAAGGCCCCCAGTAGCACTGGAGTGCTCCTCCAGCACCTCCTTTTCTGATTTGCACATGGCCACCAATCTTGCCAAGCTGTACTTTCCACACATGGAGAGGTTTGGAAATGCAACTTCTCTGCTTTGCTGGTGTATTACCAGCTGGTTTGGAGTCCAGGCTCTTTCTTGGAAGTTGCTGAGCTTGCTTGAGCGCTTATTAGCAAGCAATTGTAAAACTATAGGCTCTGGCTCTCTCAACATCCAGAATGATGCCCAATAGTGGGTACCACAGTCAGCGCAGAGATATCTTGGTGGTCTTAGTGCAAGTTCTGCTTTCCCACATCACACGGTGGCTGAACCCTCAGTTCTCAAGGAACAAGAGCAGAGATTATTCTGTCCAACAGCAGCCAGACTGCTCCCTGAGTTCACACATAGTCCAGAATTTCTGTCTCCATTTCATTTTCACTCCCATCAGAAGGCTTGAAGTCCTCTTCCTCCTCTTCTTCATCATCCTCATCCTCTCCAGTCTCATACGCCAGCTGCTCTTTGCCATCTTCATTACTTCTTGTATTTGAGAAAAGAGCTTAATTGGGTAGAAAGAAAGACACTGTGATGCCTCTCTCAGTGAAACCTGGGGGCATTTGCAGTAGAGTTCATTAAACACAGAAGGCAGAAGCCAGAGGGTCACAGCTGATGTTGAACATCTTAATAGAATTTGATCAAGCCCAGAGCAATCTGTTTCCATACTCCAGGAACACGAGCAGAACAGTAGCAGTGCTGTGCCTCCTCTCCTGATTCTGACCTAATTCACTGGGCTACTGCTTTGGCCCAGCATCATGCAAAAGTAATTTCCTCACTTCTTGTTCAAATAATAACATCAGTAAAAAGTAAAATGGCACCAACAAATACATCAGTAAGAATAAGATCTCCATTATCACTGTGCAAAGACATTTAAAACCTGAAGGGCGTGATAGTGAACAGATGAAACAGAAAAAATTACTCTCAGCCATTCCTAATCCCAACCCACATTCATGTTGCAGGACAACAGCCCCAGCTCAGAGACTGTAATGAGCTATAACACACCACCAAATATATCTCAAAGGAGGCAAATACAGGAAGGCTACTGCAGTGCTGACTGCAACGTCCTTACTCAGCCCACTGTCTCTCAACGCCATCAGAAAGGTAGAGATACACTGCAGTAGTAGGCAGGAAGGCAGGAATACACTTTGGTGTTCAGAGCATCCTTACCAGGTCTGGTTGATCTGATTATCTGCTTTATCATCAGAGACATGGTATCTCGCAGATCATCGCTG